GGGGGGGGGGGGGGGGGGGGGGGAAGGGGGGGGGAGAAAGAGAGGGAGGAGAAGAGGACAGCAGGAGAGAGAGGGAACAGCAGAGAGGGGAAGCAGGAGGGGGGGAGCAGAAGAGAGGGGTAGCAGGAGGGGGAAGGGGGAAGAAGGAGAGAGAGGGAGAAGGAGAGAGGGGGAGAAGGAGAGGAGAAAGGGGGTGAGACAGAGGGGAGCAGGAAAGAGAGGGGTAGGGAAGACAGAAAGAAGACAATGGTCTTGAGCTCTGCTCACATATACATGTAATTACACTGCAAAATATTCCATGAGCTCAAAAAAGAAAACACTCAGCAGTGTAATCAAATAATAAAAAACCCATTGCTTGCCTCCATAAGAGATAGCAAAAAAAGTAAACAATGCCTCTAAGATGATCCAATATCTTAAAGCATAAAGATATTCTCCAAATATTTAATTAATTGTCCAAAAAGCAAGGAATGAAAAGTGTTTTACAAAAAAGCAGAGTCAAAGAGGAGAAGTAATACAAAACCATATTAGGAAATGATTTTAAATAAATTAACTGCAAGGTGCCCTTCAAAAAGAAAAAGAAGAAAGAATCCTATTTTCATATCCTAAAACTTCTTTAAAAAAGAAAAAAAAAACAAAACAGGTTAAATGTTGAGAAATTCTCCTACATGGTAACAATATCAACAATCTTCCAAATTAGATGCAAATAAAGTATATGACATATATCCCCCTTATACACTGTTCAAAACAGGCAAAACTCATCCACAAAGTTCCAGAAGTGGCCACCATTGGAGGATGGGTGGGAAAGAAACCAAGGAGACACCAGGGGCTTAAAGGTTCAAGCTGTGTAGTGTTTTCAGTCTGTCAAGTCATTGAATTTAAGATCAGTGTATTTTTCTGTATATCTTATAATTCAATAGAAAGATTTTTTTTTAAAGTCTTACCCATAAGAGAAGGCATCATTATCTCTCCATTTTGAAATAACAGAAGCTGCCAATCCAGCCAAAATGGCAGTGCTATCAAAAAACATGTGGAAAGAGTCGGAAATCAAGCCTAAGCTGGAAAAGAACAAAGACATTGGCATATTTCAATAAAAATCAAGTAGCAGGCATCCTTCTCTAAAAAAAACTTAAGATTCAACCTCTGCTCATCAGGAGTTCACCTTCTGAAAAGACATGACAATAAATATGACAATATATAAAGATATCACAATTTTTAAAAATCTAAAAAGTAAGTCCTCCTGCACCCTTCACCCAGAAAAGCCCAGTTGCTGGGAGAAGGGCAGAAATAAGGGCCACTCGCAGCTGGGCAAGGGGAGGATGCTGCCCGCCCTAGGTCTCTGCAAAGGCCAGCTGCCACTGGGAGCTGCCACTGGGAGGGACGGAAAAACAGCCCTAGCTAATGGGAGGCCAAACCTGCTTGGGCCCGGGATCTCAGAATGATACAAAGTAAACATCTGCTATTGCTGGGGGCCCTGCTCCTCCATCCTGATACAGGTTTGTAGCTCAGGGACAGGAGGGGGACAGGAGAGTGCGGCACATCAGGAACGCCCACCCAACACTCAGGCACAGAGGTCTGCATGACTTGATTGTAGGGGATCCCAGCACCACCCTTGAATAAAGTGCAGGGAAGTGCTCTCACCAGTGGGAGCACAGACTGAAAGCCGGGAAGGGGCAAGGACCCTGAAGAGCCCTCTAGTACCAGTGCGCTACTCATCACAGGGAGGAGAATGGTGAAGTCTGTGACTTGTTGAAATTAACTAGCAACAAAACACAAAACCTAGCTCAAACTCAGTTTAAACAATTGACCAGAGAGGTTCAAAATCCTCACACTAATGGCCACACAGAAAAATAGGTATTCCCATTTCTGGACACATACACTATGAATGTCAGTCTCTATTATTCTTTTAAACACAATATCTAACACTCAGTAACAATACCAAAAAATAGAGACTCATTGTCAGGAGTTGTGGCAGTCAACAGAATCAGAACCAGAAATGGCCCAAATGTCGGAACAATCAGCAAGGACTTTAAAACAAACATAATTCATACACTAAAAGATGTAGTATAAAGGTGGAGAAAATTCATGAACACATGAGGACTGTCCACAGAGCTAGAAACTATGAAAGAACACAACTATGAAAGAAATGGCAAGTCCTCCAAAATTACAATATTGAAGATGAAGAACAATATTCACAGGCTTCTGAGCAGACTGGATACAGAATCAGGTCAGATGAAATTATACAACGTGAAACACGAGGAAAGGGGGTAGAGAAAGACAGACATACACACAGAAAGAACAGAGCCTCTAAAATCTGTCTGGGAGTATTAACCAGACTAAACTACATGTAGTTGGAGACCCAGGAGAAGAAAAAAAACGAATAGGGTAGAAAAAGTATTTTAAGGGATAATGGTTGAGAATTTTCCAAAATTCATAAAAGAAAACAAATCACATAGATCCAAGAAGTTTAATGAATGCCAAGCAGGGAAGAAACCCTGCACACTTCACAACCTGCTGGACACCAAAGAGAAAGAGAAAAATCTTGAAAAGCCAGAGAAAAAAAGAGAAAAATTAGATTTAAAAAAAAAAAAAGATAAGATTTATAGCATGTTTTTGATCAGAAACTATTTAAGCCAGAATGCAATAGAGCAAACATCTTTAAAGTACTAGAAGAAGGTCAGAAATGGTGGCTCATGCCTGTCATCCCAGCACTTTGGAAGGCAAAAGTGAGAAGACTGCTTGAGTCCATGGGTTCAAGACCAGCCTGAGCAACTTGCCAAGACTTCATCTCTACAATGAATCAAAAAAATTAGCGCGACATGGTGGTGCACGCCTGTGGTTCCAGCTACTTGGAAGGCTGAGGTGGAAGGATCACCTAAGCCCACAGGTCAAGGCTGCAGTGACCGTGAGTGTGCCACAGCACTCCAGCATGGGCAACAGATTGAGACTTCAATTTTTTTTAAAAAGTACCGGAGGAAAAAAAAACACTGCCAACTTAAAATTATGTATCCATGTAACAAACCTGCACATAAGCCTCCTGAATCTAAAATAAAATCAAATTTTAAAAGTAGAAGTTTCAGCTGGGCACAGTGGCTCAAATCTATAATCCCAGCACTTTGGGAGGCTGAGGTGAGAGGATTGCCTGAGCCCATGGGTTCAAGACTAGCCCAGGCAACTTGGCATGACCCCCTCTCTACAATAAATCAAAAAATTAGCTGAGCGTGGTGGTACACACCTGTATTCCAAGTTACTTGTAAGGCTGAGGTGGAAGGAATGCCTGAGCCCAGCAGGTAGATGCTGGGGTGGCCAAGAACATGCCACTGCACTCCAGCCTGGGTGACAGAGTGAGATTCCAACGCAAAAAAAAAAAAAAAGGTGAAGTTTCAAATATATTAGTAAACTCCATTAAGTAAAACTCCATTTCTTGATAAGTTGTTTATATACCTGTTTGCCTAATTATTCAAAATTTTGTCATACATTTTAATAAAACAATCATTACCAGGCCAAAAATGAATAACAATAATAATTCAGCAAACAAAATCAGATGGGGCAGTATTTAGGACTTTATAGTATTTACTTGGGAGAAAGACTCAAACTAAGGCTGTAGTGGTTAGGTTTTTTTTTTTTTTAATTAAAAAAAATTCTATATCTAGCAAAATATATTTCAAAAATGAAGGCAAAATAGACTTTTTTGCAGATAACAAAGCAGAGGGAATCCATTGCCAGCGGGCCTGAGTTAAATAAAATAGTAAAGAAGTCCCTCAAATAGTAATAACACCACAGGAAAATGTAGATCTGTAAAAAGAAATTAAGAGTATTGAAAATGACAAATATGTGGGTAAATACAAAAATTAATTTTTCTTACCTTTAATTTCTCATAAAAATAATTGAGATAGAAGAATAGGAAAAATCGACAAAACCAAAAGTTGGTGCTTTGAAAACATCAACAAAATTGGTAACTTTTAGCTAGACTGACCAGAAAAAAAGAGAAAAGAACCAAAAAGAACCAAATTACTAAAGGTCAGGAATGAAAGAGGTACATCACGACTGACTATGTTATGATGGTTTTATAACTTCGTTGAATATACTAAAAGGATAAACTGTATGGTATGTGAATTATATCTCAATATAGCTGATTTTGGTTTTGTTTTTTTTTTTAAAGATAACTGACTATCTATAGCAGAGGTCAGTAAGCTATGAACTCTAGGCCAAATCCAGGTCCATGAAGTTTTGCTAGAACACAGTTATGCTCATTAGTTCAAGAGTATTGTCTATAGCTGCTTCTGTACACCAGTAAAGGGGAAGAGTTGTGACAGAGACTTTATGGCCCTTAAAATCAAAAATATTTACCATCTGCTGTTTCCATAAAAAGTTTGCTAACCTCTGGTATAAAGTAGAAATAGGAACACTGTATTATGGGGTTTAAAACATGTAAATGTTAAATATATGACAATAATAGCACACACGGTCGAAAAAATAAAAGTGTGTTACTATAAAGTTCTTACAATACATTAAATGGCATATTTTTACTTGTGATAATTTAAAGATTCATATTATTCGCTAAGCCATCACTAAGGAAAGCCCCTGAAAGAGGGGCAAGAAATTCTGTCTCAACCAAAGCAGGTATTGTGCCATCACTAAGGAAAGAGCAGGAAACCTGCTCCCACCCAAGACCATACACATATACACAGTGGCATTCATCTATCAATGGGAGAAGGGGTAAAAATGTTGGAAAAAACCAAACCACTGCCGTTGAGGTTTCAGGATCTGCGTAAGACTGAGGCTGGGTCGAGTTAACAAATACTCCTCTGCCCTCACCACAAACCTAGCCCTGAAAAACAAGCAACAGCAGTCTATAGCTTGGGTACGGGCAAGAGCTTGAAGAGAGAGCTTCTGTGACACATGCAGGCACAAGGACCACTGAGAGACAAGGTCTGACTCATGACCTGATAGACAAGGCACGCCTGTTTCCAGTCATAAGCACGATGACCTCAGTGTCTACTACCACTCTTTACTGATAATGTCTAGCATTTGATCAAAAATTTCAAGACACACAAAAGAGTAAGAACACATTGTGGAGAATGCAGTTGACAGAATTAGACCAGGATATGGGCCCAGCTATCGGAACTATCACAATGGGGATCATTATATTAAAAGACCCATGAAAAAGGTAGACCAAACATATGAACCGATGGGGAATTTCAGTGGAGAAAAGGGAAATATAAGCAAAGATCAAATGAAAATGCCAAAAACAAAAAGTCAGGTATCAGCAATGAAGATTCTTCCAATTGTTTATCAGCAAACTGGACAAGCTGAGGAAATAAATCAGTGAACTTGAGAGGTCAATAAAAATATTCAGGAAGCAATCATATCATCAGTTCAGTTAAAAACAGTTAAAAGCAGTTAAAAACAAGCTTCTGAAGTCAGAATAACTAGGCTCAAATCCCAGCTCCACATTTACAAGTTCTGTGGCCATCAAGTTATTTAACTTTTGCGTACCTCAGTTTAGCCATCATTTCAATAGAGTAAGAGTATAGAGGTACAATTGTTATAAATGAGTTAATATATGTGAAACATTTATTACAGGGCTTGTCACATTAAAGCCATCACTATTCCTATTTTATTACTATTATTAGTAATAAATTATGTTAATTACTCACTATTATTAATACCTTAAAATATTTGGTGTTCCAAAGCATGATCCAGTGCTCTTAACATTTAGTTAGATGCTACAGCATTCGTCAACTGGAAGTGCTACAAACTAAAAGTCAAAAACATTCTTCCCACAAGTAGAAAAAGCAGTTTTAAAATTTCCTCATAAATTTTGCAATATAGAATTAGAAACTGAAGTCAAAACATTATTTATCTATAAGAACAAGCACAATAATTTATAAATCTCTGCCAAATCATTTCATAAGATTTTGGAAAATGTCTTACAACCTTTATCCTGAATCTTATTCATTTCATTCAAATATAGATAGATCCATTAGAAAGTTTAAGTGCAGATGGTGCCTCCTTCAATATCTAACTCAAAGCAGAATGAGTAAATAGTGAAAAA